AAAAAAATCAGGTAATAAGTAAAGTTGATTTGAACATGCATATCCAAATTTAGATCATCCAAGAAGCAATTCTAAATTATATGAGATTAATGTGACAAACTGAGAAAGATAATCTTCTAACGGTTGAAACTCAAAGTCAGCTCGTATACATACGAAAGCATGCACAACAATTTCACACAAAGTATTTGAAAGACTATAAAAACTTGCAGAAATTGAAGTTATTTATAATTTACGCACTAGAAAGTGTGCGTGTGTATGCTAGAATGGACAATGTATGAAATGAATACATACTAACTAGTGGACATGACACCAACTCTATACAAATTGAGAGAAGGTCGACTACAGTGATTGAGAAATATCTTGTGTAGACAGTAGAAGCTCCTTGCCACTAGAGTATTGTGATTCCAAAAGAACCAGAGAGAGAGAGAGAGAGAGAGAGAGAGAGAGAGAGAGAGAGTCGACTTGTCTGATTGGGTTTGCTAAGGATTTGATTCAATGGTATCTTACGTTTTAGGTATCTGATCCCAAATTTATTTAAAATAAGGTTTATTTGTTGGTGTGGGTCATTATCAGCTACATTTCCCGGCTACTAGCAATGATGTCATACATAAAAACAGAAACACAGTAATTTCTTCAAACTGGAGGCAAATTTCTAAAGTCTAGTAGTAACTCAATACACTCTAGGAGTATGCTAGCTAATATAATGCTACTTTTTCATTAGGAATTTAATTATATCCAAAAAGTAATACCTATAACTTGTCAGCATCTGAATTACTTTTGTGATCACATCCCCATTGACATGTGCCGCATGGGAGTTGGACTCACTTTCTTGATCACCTGGCTTAATAAGTTGGGAGAAGACCTGACCAAGTGATTTCCAAAATCTCGTTGGAAGAGACGACTGCAAATACTCCATTCTCTTCTCAGAACGCAGTTCAACTTGCCTTGCTGAAGCAGTATCAAGCTCAGAAAATCTAATGACTCCTAGCAGTGGCAAAACGGCTCGGTGGCCCGAGCTTCCCGGCTTTTCCCGAGCCGGGCCAGCTTGTGGCCCTGGACCATCGAGCCTAGGTTCGGGCCGAGCCTCGTTTCCTGGCACCAGCTCAAGCCCGGGCCAGCCCGCGTGGCTCGCCAAGCCACATGGGCTGGCCCGGGTGACAAGCCATTTCGGCTATGGCTGTAAGTAAAAACCGTCAAACCNAAGGATGGTGGTGTGGAAGATGGAAGGACTTGTGGTAGTTCCTTTTTTTTTTGAAATGTATTAGATTTTTAGAAGTTTTAAAATTGTTTATCCGAATTTTGTATGGATATTCTTACATTTTGGAGTTCAGTTAATGATGAATATTGGAGTTACTTGATATTGTTACCTTCTATCTTGTTTTATGGTTGATTTATGTAAATCATTATACAAATAAAAGAATAAAAAAAAATGTAAAATGACATACGGCAACGTTCGCTGAACGTTGCGGAAAGTGTCCACGACAACGTGCAATGAATGTTGCCGTAGGATCTACGGTGAACGTTGCCGTAGGATCTACGGCAACGTTCAATGAATATTGCCGTAGATCCTACCGCAATGTGCAATGAACGTTGCCAAAAGTTGGAACTCTACGGCAACATCAAACACAACAACGTGCACCCGAACGCTACGAAAAGTCTATGGCAACGTTTTTCGCGCGTTGCCATAGGCAGTTTTTGTTGTAGTGACGTAATATAAGAGTGGTTGTAAGTTTGAACAATTGACGATGATGTTTTTGAAGGTTGGTAAATTTTTGAAGCCAAGGCATGGAGAAACAAATACCAGGATAACATAGTCAATAAATTCAAAAGTTATAAAGGATAGCACGAGAAAAGAATCTCAAAATGCTTGGAAGGAGGACGAAGAAAAAAAAAAGCATATCTGGTTTAGATATGATTTGCACAATTGAGGTAATAGTGATCTTTGATACACTACATCTTATCAGAAAACATTCCAAAAGAAATGCCAAATCGAAAAAAAAATAAAAAAAATCAGGTAATAAGTAAAGTTGATTTGAACATGCATATCCAAATTTAGATCATCCAAGAAGCAATTCTAAATTATATGAGATTAATGTGACAAACTGAGAAAGATAATCTTCTAACGGTTGAAACTCAAAGTCAGCTCGTATACATATGAAAGCATGCACAACAATTTCACACAAAGTATTTGAAAGACTATAAACACTTGCAGAAATTGAAGTTATTGATAATTTACGCACTAGAAAGTGTGCGTGTGTATGCTAGAATGGACAGTGTATGAAATGAATACATACTAACTAGTGGACATGACACCAACTCTATACAAATTGAGAGAAGGTCGACTACAGTGATTGAGAAATATCTTGTGTAGACAGTAGAAGTTCCTTGCTACTAGAGTATTGTGATTCCAAAAGAACCAGAGAGAGAGAGAGAGAGAGAGAGTCAACTTGTCCGATTGGGTTTGCTAAGGATTTGATTCAATGGTATCTTACGTTTTAGGTATCTGATCCCAAATTTATTTAAAATAAGGTTTATTTGTTGGTGTGGGTNGATTCCAATAGAGAGAGAGAGAGAGAGAGACAACTCGGCCGATTGGGTTTACTAAGGATTTGATTCAATGGTATCTTACGTTTTAGGTATCTGATCCCAAATTTATTTAAAATAAGGTTTATTTGTTGGTGTGGGTCATTATCAGCTACATTTCCCGGCTACTAGCAATGATGTCATACTTAAAAACAGAAACGCAGTAATTTCTTCAAACTGGAGGCAAATTTCTAAAGTCTAGTAGTAACTCAATACACTCTAGGAGTATGCTAGCTAATATAATGCTACTTTTTCATTAGGAATTTAATTGTGTCCAAAAAGTAATACCTATAACTTGTCAGCATCTGAATTACTTTTGTGATCACATCCCCATTGACATGTGCCGCATGGGAGTTGGACTCACTTTCTTGATCACCTGGCTTAATAAGTTGGGAGAAGCCATGACCAAGTGATTTCCAAAATCTCGTTAGAAGAGACGACTGCAAATACTCCATTCTCTTCTCAGAATGCAGTTCAACTTGCCTTGCTGAAGAAGTATCAAGCTCAGAAAATCTAATGACTCCTAGCAGTGGCAAAACGGCTCGGTGGCCCGAGCCGCCCGGGCTCGGCTCGGGAAAAGCCTGAGCTGGGCCAGCTTGTGGCTCAAGCCCAGGCCAGCCCGCGTGGCTCGCCGAGCCACACGGGATGGCCCGGGTGACAAGCCATTTCGGCTCGACTCTCCAGCCATTCAAAAAAAATGTTTTATCCTTAAAAAAAA